CGCGTAAAGTATCAGTGCTTATCTCTAAGAATTTAAAATTAAACATATAATTTTACTAATAATATATTTTACTAGTAATACTTTACGCGATTTATGTGTACATATTTCCAATGATTGGAAACTGCTAAAAATTACTCACGAACTAAAACCACGCTTTCTTTTGTTAATACGAACTTTATCAAATTTTCGATACTATTGAAAGTTTTAATACTTTTAATTTCATTCCTGGAGGGGGAGAGGAGATATGTTTAACAATTGAAAAATCTAAACTAATTACTCAAATTCATAGCACATATCCTAAGTAATACGTGTAGTGACTTTAAGGGGGTATAATCGATACAGAAATACATTAATTTTTTTGTTTTAAAATTGTTTGAATACTCTTTCTGGATACAAAAAAAGTTCCCTGATTATTGTTTATAATTTTATGCATTATGTATAAAGATACATACAATACACGAAGCCATGAGTCAAAGGATAATTTCCTGTGAATATATCTAACAGTTTTCTTATTTCTATTCAGATCATGTGACTGTACAGAAAACAACTGCTTTCTTTTTATTCTTTATTCCCTAACGTGAATAATAATAAGAATCAACAATTTCTTTTTAATAAACTTTCAAATGTTCTACTTTAAGTTTGCTAATATCGATATTACAACTATGTATAAGTATGTACTATGCATTTACGTGTGAATATATAACTATGTAACTGTACAGACGGGACTCTTATTTCGTTCCCCACTTATATAACAGTAAGTGAACATCAATCATTAATTATTCAATTAATGATGTACGAGACATATCGTCAGCATTATGAGAGTGTCACATCGAACAGTAAAGTTTTAAGAAAGTAGCGATTAAATATTAAACAGAAAATATCAATAAATTTTCATTAAGTTTAAATAAACGAGATAAGAATGTTGCATATTGTTATACCTCTTTTGATTCCAGTATACATAATATTAATAAATTTGAGTTAATTTTTAATACAGCAAAAGAGTAGAACAATGCGAATTGTTGATTTCTAAGAATATTGGACCCCTTTATATATTGCCTTACTGATTCTTAATAAGCTTTGCCACAAAACAAGGAACTATTGTTCTAGTTTTATTAATACTTCGAATATATTTATTTTTTTACATATGTGTATCAATTTTTCTATTTTTTAATTTTTACATTTATGTGAAATAATCGTTTAAACAATATTTCATTTGAACGTTGCGTATACGAAAATGAAATGGTGCAAGAGGTCAACGAATACAATTTGATGTAGAGATTGCACATGATACTGACGACATGTCCACTTTGATTCACGTTTTCATGAAGATTGGCAGTTAAAGCCTGGACGAAAACTGTCCAAAATAGAGCAAAAATGGTAAGACATTTTACGAATCTTATTTGCACCAATATGTTGTGTTCAATTATTCCTTCATAAATCGAGTGCACAGGACTGAGAATAAAAGACAGATTAAGGTAGGTCTATGTAGTTCTATATTAGCCTTTTCATGTACTCCGCGATAAACTCTTGAAAAGTTATTCTCTCCAATGATCAGACAATACCTTTCGAGATATCACTGTAGTAATATGAAAAGGTACAATGTATTAATATACTATGACATTAAAATATTTTAAGCGAATTTCCGATAAACCTTTTCTCAGGACAGCGAACACTGTTCGATTTCTTTTATACGTATCTTCATTCACCACTCGATGTCTTTGTATATTATAAAATTCATTCGAGATTTTCAAAACATGATTGACAAGGCATGTTTAGAAAGGATTGAAATATGCAACGATAAATAGCACACAGCAAGCGCAAATCAGCATCATTAATTAATATAAAAGTATTTTACATTTAGCCTGATGGTAATAGGATTCAATTTTAATTAATTCAAAAATTCATAACGTTATTATGAGTTGCCACAGATCATATTACGTTCGAGTATATATCTAACACGTAATCACTTGGTGACATGCTCTATATTTGTTCCTTGTCAGCTTTTTCGATTTATCACAGCTGGGGCAAAAGTGTCAAGGAAGAAATCTTGTCTTACACGCCCGAAAAATAACGCTGGTTCAGATTTCTATTCGACGTAGTCCCACCACTCCTTCTCGTAACCTTCGTGTACGTGTTCTAGAAGCACTTTCCTCCGACTATCGCAGTATCTTAGAATAAAATTAAATATGAAAATTGAATGTTATCTAAAAAAACTGTAGTAGTATACGACATATAGAAATAAATCAAATAGCTTACCTATATTTATCCTGAACCTTTTGTTTAATATCAGCAAGATTTTCACTCGTAATATCTCGTTCAAGATATTCAGAGAGACGTTCTGTGGTACCCTCTAAATCCTTTTGGTTGTCTTCAAAAATCACAGATTGATTATTCTTACGCACATAATAAGCAAAAACGTAAGTATACATAAGAGTCTGCCTACAGGAACACAAAATGTCTACTGCTTTCTTCAAGAATTGTACCTGAAAACACAAGTATAATGCAACCTGATTTATACGGTTTTCAAACAAAACAGCCACTTCATACTCAATCTCAAACGACTTTACCTCAATCCATGACATATTATGTTGTTGCATCTCTTCCATTCTTTCTTTTACGCTCGCGTAAAGTTTACTTTCGAATTTTAATGATTGCATATGATTTATATATCTGTTACAATAAAATAAGTATCTCTGTAACGCGGATCGCGATTTTTCTTGAGCATCTCTAGCTGCTTTAGCCTCCTCTTCGTCGTAACGATTACAGTTATACCAGCTGGAACCATGCGGTTCCCAGGGTCCAAGGCATACCCAACAAAAGTCAGTTTTACAGTTCTGATTCTTGCAGACCATATGGTTGCATCCACCATCTTTCTCTATTGTGACCTTGCACTTTGGACATTCCTTTGTATTTGCAGCTATCCAATTTGATGTTTCGGAATCATCATCACACTTTTTAATCCACTTACGTAATAAGTGACATTTTACAGGGTCATGCCAATTTTCACCACAAAGAAAACAGAATGTGTGCCCACATTTACAGGTTACTGGCCTCGCTTCTACATACTGTACTTTTATAGCATTATTACAATCTGGAGATGGGCACCACCTTAATAACCTATTGCACTATGAAAGAAATGATAAAGATCATGAATTAATATTAAAGTCAATTTTTTTTTAAGTAAGAAGGAATATGTAAATTAATATTTACTTCAACAAAACTATTTGTTATTAAATGTTGATATTTCAATTTCACTTTAGAGTCTTTTACAAGACGCATAACACTGGCATCGTCAACTAAAATGTCACATGCATGTGCAGCACACGCAATCGTTTGACCCACACCTTCTTCCATAATTTTTGTTGTCAGATATTCTCCCCAACACCCAGTACAAAATCGATGTCCACACTCCAGTCCAGTCATCATCTAAATATTTGTCAAATGTATTAAACGTACGAAATGCATCAAGAAAATATATTAAATTTCATTAAACCATGACGATATATTGCATAATTGTTTGTATACACGTACTGCAGTTGGTTGCACTGTAAAACAAATTCCACATTCTTCAGTACCGTTCGGTGATGTCCATCTGGACTAAAAATTGCAATATATTATTAGTACGGTCACACTAGACTTTTAAATCAATTTAAACTTAAGTAGAATTTTATTTACCAAAGAACTTTGAGAGGATTGATTTCTATTTATTAATGGACCCTTTCTAAATGGATTAACAACTCTTGCTTCTGCGAACAACTTTTCTTGATCACCGTCATAAAAGCGTTCCATTAACTTTTCTTTATCCCATTTAAAATGATTTAATAAGATACGTGTAGTCGTTGCCGGTATCTGTAATTAAACATTGACTGATGACAACTGTACTTTAATTGTATCATGTGAGCTAAGAAAAAACAAATTTTTCTTTTCAGATCACTTAAGTACTCAATGCTTCATATGTGTGAAAATTTATGTTCAATTCATTGCTTCCATCTTCAACATACTTCTACTACTGTGTTGACTTCTTTAATGGAATCCACCATATGTTGCACTATTTCTTCCGTTGACAATACTTCAAAGGGATAATCATCGACATCATTTGTCCGCTCCCTTGGATTTCCAGCTTCAATTTCCATAGCAAAATCGACATCATCTCCACTAGATTCGTTGCCAGAATCAACATCGTCATATGTCTCCTCTTCAGAATCCATTGTGAGTTATTTTATTTATTAAGTAATCAAAACACTAATATGTAAACGTTTACTTTATATATTTTGCACCTGCAGGAAAAAAATATTCCATTGAAGGAATTCAGTGTTTACTTATTTAATATTTGGATCACTAAACTATATTCTTTTTAATGTACACGTTGGAAACAACGAAGCCAATAAGTGTCAATTAAGTAAAAACAGTGCACTAACACGTTTTTTTGCATTAATTCGTGCTTTCTATGCTCGTTGAGGGGTGAAGAAAAGTAATGTCAACACCAATACAACTATCGCGATCGATAAATTTCGGAATAACTTTATATCACAAAGAAACTTATCGCACCTGTACTCGCGAAATATTGTTGTATCGGAGCAAGGTGAAAACAGCTTATGTTTCAGCACATGACGTCATACTATTCGTTCGCTACTTCCCGAATAAAGCAAGGAACTTTATATCGTAGTTTCTTTTTACTTACTGCTTATACCGAGTCACAAAAATCTACAGTCACGACATTAAACAATTTTCGGAATTATCCGTGACTGGATAAAACTTCCTTATATTTTTTACAATCGGTATAAAGCGAGAATATGATCAGCTGCCAAAACATCCGAATTGAACTCCGGGCAGCTGACACACAAAATGCTAGTCTCACGGAGAAACGATGAACAAAGTAACCGTGTTGTTAGCCAATCAGGACATCTCTACGTTATCCAATGGCGTCCCGTGTTTATCGAACTCATATTTTACTTTGTTCTTTGGTTTGCTTTAGAATTTAGTCTAACACTTTTATAAAATGACCGTATCAAGATAAATATTGAAGTAATACAATGACGAAGTAATGTAATGACGAAGTAAGAATTGATAATATTTAACAAAGTATGTGCACAATTTATTACATTAGAAAATAAGATGAAAAAATAAAGTACCTTCTGTATGGTCGTCAGGAGCAGAATATATTCAACGACCGAGAATTTGTCTAAGAATTGTATGAAAATTAGAGGCTATCCCGAATTTTGTGTGTTATTACTGTATACTCGACCGAGTCATCACAATTCTTTTAGGAATGTAAAAGAATCAAGGAGAAGATAATATAATATCTGTTCCGAAAGCGTTCAATGCAAGACTATCAACATTATAAAACTTTAATCACGATTTTAATAAACAGGAAAAAAGCACGAAATGTGTACATTTTATGCGATTTCCGATGTTGAAACACATCACAAATTTACAAGACGTATTACCATGCACTTAATCTTTACAGCCATTGCACTCAAGAAGTCACCACACCAGTAGGCTAATCGGGTAAAACCATAAATTGATCTAGAATGCACCGTTTGCCATGAAAGAGAGGACGAGCTTATAGCTCGAACACTGCTATCACGTCCATAGTGGTGCGTGTGCGATTACTTCTTTCTTCCCCGATCAGAGTCGAATATGTAAAGTTGTTACACGTTTTCTTGCGCTCACTATCGAAACTTGAGGCTAATCGGTCAGTAGGCAAAAATAGACACAAAATTTCACGCGATACTATCCGAGGAATTGAAAATCTAAGGAAGGACGCGACAAACGAAATGTCTCGTCGGCCAATGCCGTTTTACTGACTTTAGTCAACTACGTGAAGTAAGCTCCGTATGCGACACACAGCTGACACGCATGGGCGCCTCTGCAGGATGTGGAAAGTTGCATTTTGCGCGCAATCTTTATACTTTTATTAATATTAAACAAGTTTTAACCTTTGGACAGAGAAATAATTACAGTGATTCCCATTAATATTCGGATACACTCCAAATAGAAGACCTTTTTAATATTGGATCAAAGAACTTAACTTTCTACCGGATGTTAGGAGGCTCATAGTTTACTACGTAATATGTAATAGAAAAATTCATCAGAATTTCAGAAAAAAATGAAAAGGGCAAGTCTTTTAGTAAGGTCTTCAATAAAAATTTGAAACATTTATTTTGTAAATCTAATTATGTTATATGCATGTACAAAAACACAAAGTTCCATGAGAAAGAAAGGATAACAAAATATTGTGTTTCATGGAGTGCAATTTATATTGTAATTAATGTATAAATTATTAGAATTAAGAATTTCAAAATCCCGCCTGAAGTTTCAATTTATTACGCCAATGTTACTAACTATGTGAGCGATAAGTGGCGGAGGTCGCTGTGTGCTGTGAAGTTAACTTAACCCCGTATCCAGTGTTGTATTTTCTATTCAGATTAAATGTCAGAGTGAATTACCTACTCACTGGGCAATATGACATTGCCCAGGTTAAGTGATTATTCTTTGCTAGAAAAGATCGGATCGGGAAGTTATGCGACCGTCTACAAAGCGGTTAAAAAGGTACGTGAATTTGAGGTTCAGGATGAACGTATTCTTTATACATATGTAGTATATACGACACAGGGACATGCCTGACAGTATCGTAGCTTGGTTCACAAGTGCCAAAATCCACGATCAATCTATACGTGTTGTACAAAAATTCGATATATTTTATATTCGTGTTAGTAAAATCAAATTATGGTTTCACTGATTTTCATACATGCATATTAAAATACCAAGTTTAATAATACTTTAATTTCAAATATTGCTTATTGTAGGAATTAATTTTATTTATATTTAGTAGAATCATGTGTTAGTAATTGCATGCATTACGTAAAAAATTAATTAATAACGCACGATGAATCTGCAATTCCTTTATTACATAATAATCTTTAATAATTGGGTCATGTTATATAATAGTATGTAGTTTTCATAAATTAATAGTAAACTGCTGCAATGCGGCATTCTAATTTAATGCAACTTGCGTAAATACCGATTTTAATAACGTTCTATTTACTAAATTTTTGAGGTATTATCTGGTTGGAAAATCGGAATTTAATCTCTAATAAATTTGAATGAATTTGAATTTAATGAAAGATTAATGAATCTTCCGTGTGTAATGATTTACCATGAATTTTAAACGCGCCGCATACAGTGCAATTAGGAGATAGACACAAAGACACGAGCCAATCGAAATAATTGTGTAGATAGTAGGTGCAGACTGTAGTTTTACATCCTTTTTTTTATATTTCTGTTAGTATACTTTTTAATACACTTTTTCCTTTTTAAACAAACTAAAAATACTTGATATAACTAATAGTAAAATTAGTATCATACATTGTCCACAAATGCGTTATTATAATGTTTGCATATTCATATTGTTATAATTATTTAGTAGCTCTTAATATATCTGACGAAAGTTTAGCGGGGTAAACGGAATTATTTGCCATTTAATGGCACAGTTGTTACTCTCTTTTTTTAACTAAAATGATATGCATACATGGATGACAACAAATAGAATTATGATTTTCATGCGTTTTAATTAATTCAATATCCCTAAGATTTCGATAAAATAATTATTTATTAACGAATGCTGTGCCCATTAGACACACATTCGTATGATCGATCAAAACTATGTGAACGCACTAACCTTTGCACTAGTTTTCTCTTTGTAGTGAAGTATTGATATGCAGTGGAACGATGTCGGTTTATTTAGTAGGTCATCGATTCAAGTGCAACTTGTTTTAATGTATTTCAATGACTGAACGAACGTGTATCGGGCGTTAGCGCCGATTTGAGTGGCGGCCAGAAAAAGATTGTCGGCGTTGATGTTTGAAAGAATATATCCCAAGGCGAGTCTAACGCTATGCTATTGTTGGGCGTTCGTAGGATGGATGCCGGGAGGTAGTCGCAATCAAATCTGTAGACAAATCATCGCTCTCAAAATCGGCCATCGATAATCTTGTTACGGAGATTTATCTGTTGAAGATACTCAGGCACAAGCATATCGTGGAAATGAGGGATTTTTTCTGGGATGAAGGGTTAGTTCGTTGAACAATGAATGATTTTGGATAAGAAAGACTAAGCACCAAAAGCACAGTCTTCCCTAGTTTTTTTTCTTAATTATTCAATTGTATAATCTTTACGCTAATTTTATTTCTCGGAACAAGTAAGAAATTATGAACTTTTACAAATAGTATTGTAAATATGTTACATATAAGTAATAAGTAAACATAAAAGTAAATAACAAAGAATTTTATTATTTATTGGGTCAGGACGAGAATTTTTCTCGGGATCAGGACGGGTGCTCGAAAATGTCCGAGATTCTCCTATGACGAATCGTTTTTTTCACGCCATCTTCTGTTTCTGTTTTTTCTTTTTTACTTTTCCACCACGTTTTGCTTTATCGTTTTATTGTTTTCCATTTGAAATCTTTGGTCGCCAGATGTTGGAGTTTTCAACCGTCAGGTTTATCTGCTGCCCAAGCCACTTCTAAGTCGATGGTCCAGGTCATTTTTTATGATGCTTTGTCTGTTTTTCCTAATTTTTCCGTTTACCCTCATCCATCTTCGACTATCTCTTTGTTCTCTCTTCTTTTCCATGTTCTTCGAAATTTCGGATTTTCAGGATTAGTCAGTAAGTGCTAAGCCGACCTACGCGAAGGGTCTCTTTGTCATGACCGTAAGTTGAGTTGATTGTAACGCACGTGTCATTTTGTATCGCTAAAACCTTCCGCACATTAAATGGAGTGGACGAAAAACTTCGTTTATAATTATATTTCACCTTTACCCATTCCTTCTCACTTAAAAAAATTCGGGGGTAAAAATTATATTTTATGTCTTCGTGTGAAAAGGCTAATTATTACTTATTTGCTATATTATTTCCGCCTCATTTTCCAACCATTAAATAATTAAAAATGAGAATAAATGAATAAATTTTATAATGTGATTTGCGAGAGTGTTTAAATCTCTTGGAGGAATTTAGAACATTTTCAGGCATCTTGACATAATCGAAAAACCCGAACATCGTCAAGAATCTTAACATTTTCTTGAACCCGTCTCGATCATCGGCTTCTCGATATTTTCGGGTTCTCCCACACCTCTATTAATTCAGATAACATAATAAATAATTTAAAGTGTAGTCAGAAATTCTATAAAAGAGGTGCTTACCGTCTGACGTGATGCAGGCACATTTACATCGTGATGGAATACTGCGACGGTGGTGATTTATCAAGTTTCATAAAGAAGAAACATCAGCTACCCGAACAAATTTGTCGTCAATTTTTGCAACAACTCGCACTCGCTCTAAGGTATCTACGTAATAACAACGTCTCTCATATGGATTTAAAGCCGCAAAACTTGTTGCTAATGAGGCAGCCACGATTAACATTAAAAGTTGGAGGTTCGTCTTGCGTTTCATTCGTCTTATATCTTTTTTCTTTCATACATTCTGTCGGTCGACTTGCCACGCAAGCAATTGGACGAATTTCTATATTTACAGATTTCGGTTTTGCGCAACACATTTCGAGTTCGGAACAGAAATTTGCGATTCGTGGCTCTCCACTTTATATGGCGCCGGAAATTTTATTGAAACGCAAGTATGATGCTCGCGTCGATTTGTGGAGCGTCGGCGTAATCATGTACGAATGTCTCTTCGGCAGGGCGCCGTATTCTAGCGGTAGTTTTCAGGAGTTGGCTGAAAAAATTAAAGACTGCAAGCCCATAGAGGTGATTTACATTGTTAATTTGCTTGTTGTATCTACTGCAATACGTTCTCGAATACGTAATTCGAATATGCATAATCCATGTAGTAGTTTCTTGTCCTTTGTTGCCTTTACTGTCTTATTTTGTGAATAAATAATATATTTCGTATCAGATTAATTTGCTTGGTTATACTTACGGCTATAGTAAAGACGAGATAAAAAGGTTCCAAGAGTCTGTGTTTCCCGTTAGCAATGTATCGTTACATAGACGTTTATGAGCAATATCTAACATCAGTAAATTGCAATTTATGTTATAGAGTATCAACATTTTTATGATTACAATGAATGGCGTATTATATACGTTCGATTATTCTCCTATCTTCGCATTTATAGTTCTTAAGAAGAGATATAAATAATTTCTTATCAGACATAAAAATACATTCTTCTATGATGGTAACATTGATAGCTTCAAAATGGATTAGAGATATCGTACAAACATTAAGAGTAAGAATAATTAGAAGTACTATATTTTTCATAAAGCAGTGTGAGCCTGCTTTCTAGTCTACTCTGTTTGATATAACACATGTATTTACATGCACGTATACAGGGTACCCCGCGTAACATTTTTCACAATTTGTCAAGTACTTGCGATAATCTGACAAAAAAATATCTTATACGAAAGTTGGTCAGTTTTCGATTGGCTATACATTGCGATAAGAAGAGTTCGAAAAATTCATTTTCGATAATTGTCAAAGTCACCTTCATTTTCTTTTAAATAGTACTTTGTATGACTTCGGATGACATTGAAATCAAATAAATAAAGGTTTCAACAAAAAATGACGTCCTGCTTGAATGTGTGACACTCTTTCTTTGTTGTTGTTGATTCATCACGTTTAGTTTAACGTGAAATGGAGATCAATGAATCACTGATTTCCTAAACGAGGTGTAAGAAAGTAAATCAATTTTTCTCATATCGATATATTTCAATATTCACAACTTACATAAAACGTTCTACTGTAATGCAGTTTGTTTGTTCCGGAACTTGCCCGTTCGACGCGAGAATTCGACTCGAAAATTTGTACTGAGATGTTGCTCTCATGAAGTCGAGAGCTGTTGTGCGTCTATTGGTTGACCGAGAGCTGCTTTTATATCTAAAAACGATGCCAGAACTTAGCCACTAAAAAAACAGAGTTGAACAGGTAATGACTACCTGGTATTCCTTGCGGTCCGAATTATCTCTCGGAAACTTGTGAAAACCCAAGCGGCTTAAAAAATTTTAGTGCTATTTCCCGAATAATAGAATCATAATTTTTCGCAAGCCCATGGTCATTACCAACCGCCATATAGCTGTCAAACCCTTGTTACGACAAACGTGCCAGTCAGCAGCTGCGTAGATGTAGAAATTCTTGTAGAACTTAACAGTTGTGAATTGCCGAAAATAGATAAGTTTCTAGTAATACGACATTTACTCCTGAATTAAATGTAACTTCGAATTTTAATAATAAATACAAGTTATTATCACACATTTAAGCAGATTGTCATTTTTTGTTGGAATCTTCTTTTCTTTGACTTCAAAGTCATCCGAAGGTCATGGTATACTAGATCATTGAATTCGTATTGATACTGTTAAGTCAAAAATAAAGAGTGCCATTTAAAAAAAAATAAAGGTGACCTTGACGATTATCGAAAAAGAAATTTTTGTATCGCAGTGTATAGCCAATCGAAAACTGATCAACTTCTGTATAAAATATTTTTTGTCAGATTATCGCTAGTTCTTGAAAAATTGTGAAAAGCGTTACGTGGGACACCCTGTATAAACATAGATTTTAATCTTTTGTTCCTGTATTTATATTATCTTGGAACTTTTTTGTTCACTAAGACATTATCTGCCTATATCTTATTTATAATATATTTATACACATAAACTATGTGTGTACATGTATACATATATACAGCCATGTACCAAATAATTATAGTCCTATAAAGAAATATGAAATTTACACAGTCAGTACTGTAGGTACATACCTGCTTATATTTTTGCTTTCAAATACAATAGGATTTGGCATATAGCGTACGTAAATATGTATATATTATTATACATATGCATATAATAGAAAATATCTATATAAATGTGCTTTTTCTTATATCAATAATCAGAAATTGTGTAAAGTTTCTTTAAACTTCGACGTTTTTCCTAAGAGAAATTGTATTTCTTCACTTTAAAACAATATTTCCACTATTAAATATCGTGAAATGACAGTTACCGAAGGGGCCACACGTGTCGCACGACTGCAAAGACTTGCTGATGTCCTTATTGAGACACGACCCTGATCAAAGGATAACGTTCGATGAATTTTTCGCTCATGATTTCCTGGATTTGGCTCATGCGCCGACAAAGGAAAATTATGACAAGGCGGTCGAGATAATTCAGAAGGCCGTGAAAATGGACGCGGAGAAAAATGCGAAGGAAGCGTTTCATTTGTACTGCGAGGCCCTTAGATATTTTATTCCTATTCTCACAAGTAAGAAAAAGTATACTCGAATAATGTACATAAATAGTCACTAGGACGTTACATGGGAACCTCGTAGGGAGTGGATATTGTGAAAAGTTATACATTCCCGTTGTCCCATTACTTTAACAGGTGAGACTGATCCAAAACGAGAAGAAAGTTTAAGATTGCGCATAAATGATTATATTAACAGAGCAGAAGTACTGAAAGCGTCGTGTACAAATAATGATAAGGACAAAAATAAATGTGTAGAACAAGAGCATAAAGGAAATTGTCGGAATGTTCAAGGGGTACCGTCCTTAAGTCGAAGTCCGACACTAGCTTATCACGAACTACGTTTGTATTAAAATTTTTCACATGTAATAATCGTTTTAGATATATCAACGAAAGTAGGAGATAGTGAAAAATTATTACATTCGTATCTACTGAATTTCATTACTTTTACGTATTAAATTTATTTCTCGTTAGGAACGCTTAGCAAAAGCACGACCAGTATGCCGGATGCGTTAGAAATAGGGGATATCGCTGAACTTTATCTTGCCGAGGGAAAATACGCGCTTGCATTAGAAAAATTTCAAGCGTGTCTAGGAATACTCGTGCCCCTGCTAAGAAAGGAACCGCCTGGTCGAAGAAGAGACTTATTACATAAACAGGTGATGAATCATTACTATCATCAATGCCAATTTATTAATTTACTTGGTCGGTTCTCTTAATTACAATAAAGAAACAATCGGATACGAATAAATTAATATGCAACAGTGTAATAAAAATTCTACCTTGACCGAGATATGAGTGTATCTGGTACAAAAAAAGAACTGTTTTGTTCAAAGAAAAGTTCTCTACTTAAAGTACCATCACCACTACTCTAATAGTGAAATATGCATTTTTAGTACTGACAGTCACAAATACGAACTACTAAAAACTTGATCAGAAGTACGAATATAACTTTGATTTGAGTATTTTTTACTGTTTCTTTAAAACATTAATAGCTCCTAAATAGAATTTCAATTTCGAAATGAGAGTCTGATGAATTTTCTCTGTTCCGATCTTAATTGAATTTCACGTTCTTATTTTTGATATCCCTTTTCAATCGATCTGAAGATTTTAATTCCGGCCGTGTGCATCGCTCTGTATACTTTTATAAAAGTATATTCATTTCACTGTTTTACAACGTATACGCGTAACTAAAAGCAGAAACCTTTTTAATTATTATTCAAGTTAAAAATAAAAAAGTATAATAATTAAAGTTTTATTTAATTTTGTCGGATTGCGCGTTGCCTGTGTGAATGTTATATTCATTAGTACAAACAAAAATGATTTCTATGAACTTAAATTCATTTTATATTTTCCAATATATGAAATTTCACTTTATTTCATCGATTTTCATAAAAATGCTACACGTGTTTCGGTAATAATTGAAACCAATTCGTTTTACGCTTATACATTAACTGACATTATAATATACGCAGAACTACATATCAGTTATACGAAAAGGATGCAGTACATGTGATTAGATTAGGTCAACTCAATAATTTATTCATAATTAATAATCTAGTGTGAGCATATTACATAAAAAAAAATACATGATATGTATAAACAGTATGCATAAATAGTAATTTATTATTTAATCATTGATATTTTACCAAATACAACTGACCATAGGTTACTCATATTCGATGTCCCATAATGTAATCACATAAGATAAATGTATAGTCAAAAATTTGTAACGATACAA